GATCATCTCACAGATGCGAAGTACGGGTTTCAATGACTTGTAATTTTTGACGCCACATGCCTAAAGCAAAACGGTCTGGAATTGGTATAGCCCAAGTAATGCTCTAAACGACTGAATTAAAATGAGACTATTATATGTGAATTTCTTAAAGATACATGCACTTGAATGAGGTGTGCATGCTCCACTGACAATGTAGTGCCTGTTTTCCAAGACCGTAATACAAAAGATAGATTGATTGAAGAGCCAAAACTTCGGCTATGTTCTGAGTGATACCTGCTGTTCAAATTTCTCATCTTGGAATATTCGATCTTGAGAAAAGGACCGTCTGGTGATCGGTGGAAGTGTGCAAAAAAGATCAAATTTCCGCAAATTTCGATCAAATCTAGTGTTATCTTAAGGCTGCCAACTTCCACGTATTTTGAATCTCCGTGAGAAATGCTGCTTAAGAATGTATGAATTGAATATCTTAGCATCACCTAAAGATCCCTCATTTTTGCTTCCATCTTAATTACGGCTGCCATAACCCTAATGGGTGCTCCTGCACCCAGATCTCTGTACTGTTGGATTCGCAGCCAGAGGCACGTGTTCACTTATTAGCTAATTAGGAAACAGAGAATTCGGATCAATCCGTTTGAGACTTTACTTTTGTTTAAAGTGCTCCTGGAAGAACCGTTTGGTCCATTTCGTTTCATTTTTCGAACGATTAACAGAAATGATGGCATGAACATTTTGTTATATCAATAGTTTTGTAATGGATTGTCCGTTTTCACAAAGTGTTCGATACTCTATTTTTTGGGTGGGCCGTGGAACTTCTCGCAAGCCAAACGGTAATTTCAAAAAATATCGAAATTTTTGAACCCTCAAATGCGATATTTCCATATTTTCGGAAAACTGTATATTTCAGAGCTTGGCATCATGAGATCATGCATTCTTCTAGCATCATCTCAGCATTTTACTGAATGAAAATGGTTAAGAATATCCCCACTCAAGTGGCACACGCCATGAGCAAGGAAGCAAAGTTATCGATGATGTCATCCAAATATCGATTAATCAGGAGAATATTGCTCAATAGTCGCAAAACTTGTAGTGGATTTACGACGTGACCACATTAAATAATAATTTGCCTAGATCAAAAAATTGCGTTGGTGTTTGAATTACGAAATTTTTTTTTGTAATTTTGAAAAATTCAAAAACAGAAAATTCCAAACTCAGCCATTTGACCGATTTGATTCAGACGTTTGCTGTGAAAATGCCAGTGGAAACGAATAATTCTCGAAATCGATCGAATAATAATTCGATCGAATTTAGAGAATTTCTATGTTATACTTTTTGATCCACATTTGATCTTTCGATATTTCGAATATACAACCTTTCACACCTTCATTTTTTGTTTGGGCGACGAAACTTTTGCCTAAAGCCATAATTGTAATTTTGCAATTTTTTTTAAAAGTTCTCGAATGTGCTTTATACTCTCGGTGTTAAAGGTCTGGAATTCTCTATCGTAAGCTGTAGAGAGCTTTTGAACCTTTTATGAGAATCAGAAAGTTATGACTTTTCAGCAGTTTAGCTCTGAATACGATCCTTGCAGCAATTGCCGAGAGTCGTTGGAAAGTTCTACTAAAAGTACCAAGATTAGAGTTACGGCATTACCCCAAATCAATTTTCATTCTGCCATGGGTTCTGAAGTAATCTGCGTAGATCATAGTGCTAGAATCCATAATTACCTCGATAGAAGGCCTGAAGAGCAGTCGGGTGGCTGCGCACTTCTTGAAAAGATTGTTTCAAAACCGTGGCAGAATGAAAATTGATTTGGGGTGATGCCGTAATTCTAATCTTAGTACTTTTAGTAGAACTTTTTAACGACTCTCGGCAATTGCTGCAAGGATCGTATTCAAAGCTAAACTGCTGAAAAGTCATAACTTTCTGATTCTCATAAAAGGTTCAAAAGCTCTCTACAGCTTGCGATATGAGAATTTCACTTCAACACTGAGAGTATGAAGCGCTCGGAGAGTGAATTTCACTGATTTTGAACTCGCAGGCTGAGAAGTCAGAGTAAATCAGAAAACTTAATGGACACCGTGATTTTTCGACATCGATCCAGAATTTTGAAACTTGAAACTGAATTGAGCGCGGAGAAAAACAATGCTAATCAGGATATCGAGATACATAAATCTTTTTTCTAAAATAGTAGAATCTCTAGACCCGGTTTCCAGTGTGAATTCTAAGAGGAATGTTGATTTTGTTTGTATACCCGGCTGAGAAGTTACACAAATTCACATTTCATGACTTTTCTAGATAAATTGCTCACCAGTACTACAAAAATCGTAATGAGACAATTTGACTAAACTCTACGGATTTAAAATTTCTCAAGATGTTAAAAGAGTAGTGGTATGTTCAAGAAATATTTAAAAGTACAATATGAAAAAAGATGTAAGATTCGTAATTTCAGACTTTTACTGTATAAAACCCATAAAAAACTATGGAGACAGTTGAAAAGCTCTTTATATTATATTCCATCTCGTTGTGACATGAAAACCAGAGAATTTTTAAAATCATTAAATTTTGAACAGGAGTGCAATTCTTTTGAATTTCTGAGATGACAGCCTGCTGCTGAGCAGTCAGAACTTTCGACTTTTGCAACGATAAAATGGAAAAGGTTGTGAAATTCTTTCGAAGATATGTCATTTTTTGAGACAAAGGTTTGACCACTAGAAAATGACTTTCTTCGATCCGTAGCGTCGTTGGGTGCGAAACTTGTGCCCTAATTTTGTACGCGTTGCTCAAGGGAGAACAATGGTGACCTCGTGATTGTACGCTGCCTGGAGCATCTCAGTTACTCGGATATTCTCAGATGGAAGTAATCTTAGAGTTGTAATCAACAACTTCTTAAGAAAACTTTTTGAGGCAAAGCGTCTAATTTGTCATTTTTCCTTAATTTTAATTAACAACTCTTCAAGGAAACTTTTCAGAGCAAAACGTCTATTTTTGTCATTTTTCCTTAATTTGGGATGTTTTTCAAGCTCTATGAAGTGTGAAATTCTGAGGAAGTAAGCGAATTCCTTGCTCTGGTATCCCAGATTTTATAAGTTCCAGAGATTATTTGAGTAGATAGGCAGCTCTTCAGAATCTTTGCCCAGACTTCGTGTACAATTTCTTCACATAGATTTAGAATTCTCTACAGTTTCTGAAAAGATCAGAAATTCTATTTACACTGTTCCGTAAAGACTCTTCAAAGGAAGTTTTTAAAAGAGGAGTTCATCATTTTAATGCAGAAAATTTGTTTCTTTGGTAATCTAGTTTCCGAGTGATCTTCGCAAAACTTGCAATTTCGGAAAATCTAGTAAATTTCTAGACACAGGTCATAGTGCTAGAATCCATAATTACAACTCGATAGAAGGCCTGAAGAGAGTAGGCTGCACACTTCTTGAAAAGTTACATCAGCTTATTCTCAGATGTTGCCCGAAACTTGTAATTTGACAGTGTTTGTGCAAATTTTCCATTTTTCGAACTGAAGTTAGCGAAGTCAGTCTATGATTTACTAAGAAAGGTAGTCAGTATTTGGATAAAAGCAAACTGATTGAAGTATATCTGCTAACATTTATAGGTTCTTGAAGTATCCAATAACTTAGGCAATTTCCACATTGGAAGTTCGCGAAACTTGAAAGAAATTGGAAATTTTAAAGTACACTTCCAGGTGATTCAGAAATGATGTTGATCCAGATTGGAATAAATTCTATCAAGATGTTAAGGTCCTTGTATCCATCCCGTTTTCAAATTTTGTTATCAACTTGGTGAGATTCTGAAGAAAAATCGATAGAGTGAGGTCATCGGGCTCAAGCCGGACCCAGACTGGCTAATTAGTGCACTATGAGGGACCAAAAAAATCTGAAAAACAGAATTTGGGATTTTGCGGGCTTTTGAGACATCTTCGAGTAGCTTAGAACTTACTGGCTCCAAATATCAAAATCAAAATTTGATATGAAAAACAAGAAAAAGTTACACGAATCCGCCTTTTCCAACGCAACATGCCGTTTATATCGCTGCTAATAATTTGGAAAAGTACTAAGATAGAAGGATCAGCAAAGTTTGAGTAAACTCATGAGTGGACACAAAGATGCCGGAATCAGATATTTTATCGAAATTTTGGTTGAAAGACTTTGAACCGAGTTACACTAGTGCGGCATTCCCAACGCAACATTGCGTTTAGACCGCCGCTGGCATGCAGCCAAAAAAGCTTCAAAGCAAGATTTCAAATTTTTAAGACTTACTCATGTAGCTTAGGAGACGTCAATTCCAAATATCCAAATTAAAATTTGATAAATTCAAGTTGACAAAATTTATGGCGGTGCGGCGATACCAACGCGACGATGCGTTTATTTCGCCGAAGGTCTCAAAAAAAGATCTTTGATAGCGAGATCTGGAAATTTTTAAGTACACTTTCAGATGGCTCAGAAGGCGCTAATTCCAAATATTTAAATTAGAATCCGACTGATTTAAGTTCAAGCAAGCTATCGCGATGCGGCACTTCCGGCGCGACAGCGCGTTTATATCGTAAGATTTCAAGGCGGCAGTGTTGGTACAGTCTGCCCCAATCGGGATCAGGCCGAACCGTCGGCTGAATTTTCGCGGTCGCAGCGCTAGGGGTTTGCGCTGCATACGCGCGCTGTCGCAGGGAGCGAAGAGAATAAGGAGAGAGCAGACTAGCTAGACGCAGAACTGGCGCGAAACCCTCGCGACGCGCACTCCCGCCAAGCCAATTTTGGCCTGGTTAGGATTGGGGCAGACTGTACTCTACCATTTCGGACAATACACCCATGGGTGGGTCATAAGTTTGACAAAACGAAAAAGGCTTTGGTCCGAAACGGCATTCAAAAAATCGGCCTTGTCGTGAATGTGTTAACCGTTTTTCGGGGTTTAACTTGTTGCAGTGAGCCGAGAAGCGGTAATCTTAGTTTCTCAGTCTCACGTTACCTATTAGAAAGTTATGAATGCAAACCCACTGGAAATTTGATGGCAGTGGCAGACTCCACGTGGTCTAGACCGTACATTAAAATTGCAGACAAAGCGAAGATTGTGGAATCAATCGTCACCGATTTGAACATAGCTTCTAAATTCTTGGATTCACTTCTCAAAAGAAAACGGAGATCTTTTCTTATTGCGAACAAGTTTGTCATGCTTAAGACTTATAGTATTTCTATATCATTTGAGGTGGAAATCAAGTATATTCTACAGGAATCTACTATTTCATGAGAGGTCATCTTCTGATTAAGTGCTTTGTCGCGAGAACAATTGATTGGAAAAGAGTTCACAGATTTTGAATGCGAATATTGGCCGTTCTTGATATCGTGGAATTGCTCATCCCAAACTTGTGCTTTGTAGCTTTTGAAGATGTCAAAAGTTAACATATTTCCACACAGAAAGCTCCTTGGGGTATATCGAAAATAATGTTTCTGTTTTGAGGAGCCATTGCTGGAAGTAAAACTTGCAAATGCCGATGAAAAGACCTTTGAAACCCCTCCGGACTTCTCCATATAAATTGTTCTTTAAGAGACCGGCTTTATTCAGTCCATTCAAGTAGCGCAAAGTATTTTCAAAATAGGAAAAAAATTTAAACCGAGGCAGGCATAGCTTAGGAGTCAGCATTTTTGAAATTAAATTTGACGTATTTTATGCATTTATAGAAGCTCCTCACCAACGTTTAGTGCAAAAAACAGAAGAAACAACCTTTTACAGACCGTCCCCAGCTGCTAGAATAGATTCAAATTTGAAAAACAATAAGCTTAGTGATTCCTCATTTGGAATATTGCTCTCAGGTTTAGAGTCCAACGCTCAAGAAGGATATTTTGAAATTTGAGAAAGTAACGAATTTTTACACGTATGTTAGTTTCTCGAATATCTCAGAAAACCTCTGTAAGACATTGTCTGATTATTAAAAAAACGCCTCAAAATAATGAGATTGAAATCGCTAAGTTGTAGAAGACTTGTGGCTGATTTGACATTCTGCTTTCGAGTTTTGCGCAAGAAGATTGACCTCCGGGCCAGCAGCTTTTGGGTGTTAAATCAATAAGCTACAGACTTGAAGGTTTTAATCTCTATAATCCTAGAACCGAAAAATGTTTTTATGCAGGACTTTTCAATTGCCTTTTTTATCACTGTGCTCGGTGGTTTCGTAGATTCCTGCAAAACTCTTAGCTGCTAAAACAAGCCACTCGTTCAAAATGCTTTGTCAAACACTCTTTTCTCTGAATTTTTTGGTTGTGAATTATATCCTTCGTAACCTTTTTCGTTCTAATTTTTTTCAGGATTGAGCTTATGGAATTTTGTCTTAAATTTTGGTTCAAATGGTTTTTTATTCATTTCATTTTCGATTTATCTTGCTGTTGCTGTTTTTTTTCCTTTTAGGCTCTGATTCTCTGGTGCTTATTTTGTTCTGCATATTTACTCTGGCTTCCTGAATTGGATCTAAATGAGACAGCACTTCTTCATTATCGCTCGCTCGTCACAAGAAATTTCTAAATTTGCCTTGACTGCTCAGTTTGGCGACTTATTTTCTACTGTCCCAATCCACCTTATATGTGTTCTTTCTTGTATACTAACCCGCTTTGAGCCAGCCGGTCACACTGCACCTTCTTTTTCATATATTATTATCTCATCCTCAAAAACCTTTGCATCCTTTTCTGCATGGATGACTCCACTTACATTCAAAACTTCATCCATACTTTGACTATCTCAATACTTGATATAAAGGCATTATCTATTTGAAATAACGCTCATCTACATCTACAAATGAATTCGCACTGCACCATCACTTCTTCTACATTGTCAATTTCTCTGATCTTGCATTCTTATTAAATTTACTAGCTGGCTTACCCGGCTCCGCTCGGCCCTGTCAAAACACTATGATAAATCCCCCATCTCTATCCCTGTACAACTTTCTGTGCTCACTCGTACATGCCAGTTCCCTATTCCTCCTAAGTTGGTAATCATCACGCTCACTTACCCCCCTCCCTGTGCCAACTTACTCCCATCCATGTAACTCAAACTTTGCAAAAAAATCGATAAAATCGATAAAAGTGTTGGAGGATTTTTAAAACTAATAGTTATTCGTAATCAGCATGCTCGATTACCCTCTGTGCCAACTCCCAGCCTCGCAGGTCAAACTTCACGAAAAATCGATAAAAATCGATAAAATCGATATCGGTCGATAACGAAAAGTGGCCTATAACACCCGCCCCCCCCCCCCCCCGAAGTGTATGTGTGCCAAGTTTGGTTCGGGTCGGTTCAGAAATAGAACTTTCTATTCGCAACATACGTACATACAGACAGAGACATACAGACATTCAGCTTAATTTATAAGATTGCATGCTGCTCAAACAGGGAGGAAGTGGGGCGGTGGGTAGTTGAAAAACTCCTAGGTACGCATGGATTTTCCCATATCGCCTAGATACTACCCGGCAAAGCGTACCACTTGTGAGTGATGGATCGCATTCCAACATACTCGTTATTTTGAGCTCAATGTAATTTCTCTAGAATGCTTCAGATCAAAGCCTTGATAACGTTCGAGATACATATATTGGCCTTATGCAGTATAGATTTGTTCCTTCTTATAGCGGCGAATGGACCTGAGGTTTTTGAACGTAATAATCTTCTTATTTATTACTTTCTCTCATGTAGTGTGGCTATTGGTCGATTTTTCCACTCACTATTTTTGGTGCATCTCGAGTGTAATAGATAACTAAAGATAAAGCTTAGCCCACAAATTGAACAACATAAATCATAATGTGAAAGCCATGAGCGAATCACTTTCAAATGAATCTAAATCTGTGCGTGCCCAGCGGAGGACTGCTCTCAGTTTCCTCTTACATCGCTACCGTGAAAACAAGCAAAAGTTGAATATAATGAGATACTTAGTAGAACATTGTGTAGATTCAAAGTAGCTTCAAGGGGACAATCCCAACTTGAGGTGGCAAACCGCATACCATTAGATGCATCATGTTTGGCTGATTTCAAATATCATCCGAATCTGCTATACCGTTCTCTGCAAAAAGTTGTGAGCGGTTAAAAAGGTAGAGTTATTGGAGTTTTGTTGCATAATGTGCTTTAAAATCCAACTTGGGAGTGCATGACTAACATGATATTGAGCGTACTAATTTCAACGAATGTTCACATTTGACGAAAACACGAAGAAGTGTTTTTGATCAACGAATTCTCGAGATATGGCGCTGTATATTTGCATCTGGGCTTTTCATTGCTTTTACCAAAAAACTTTAGTCGTTTTTTAGTTGTTTAAAAACATTTATTTGAGTTTCCCTTGAATGTGGGCATTCCTTGAAATCAGCACACACAGTATCATGCTAATCAGGCACTTCCAAGTTGAACTTTGAAGCATACTATGCATTGCCCCAATGACCTCACATTTTCAAGCGCTCATAACTTTTTGCAGAGAACGGCATCGCAGATACGAAGGTAGGATTGGAATCAGCTCATCAAGACGCATCTAAGTGTGTGCGTTTCATCCCAATCCTCCACCTTAAGTTGGGATCTTTCCCTAAGGCTGCGTTCATACTGATTACGAAATCCTGAAACAGTTCTAGCACTGTGCTTGAACTGAGCGTTGTGCTGGGACTGTTCTCGGATTTCGTAATCAGTATGAACGCAGCCTAAAGTGACTACCGGAGACGTACTAGATAAGGGGAGTGCAACAATAACCTTTTATATAAAGCTGAATGTAAGTATGTATGTGTGTCTGTATGTACGTATCGATATCGATTTTATCGATTCTCTCGATTCTTTGCAAAGTTTGAGCTACGGGGCTTGGAGTTGGCACAGGAGGTAATCGAGCATGCTGATTACTAAAACAGCAGGGATAGTGAATTGACATGTAGACGTGGGCACAGGGGAAGGTTATACAGGAATAGGGATGAGAGCTTTATCATAGTTCCACGTTCAACTTTCGATGAATCTTGGCATATCGAATAACTTGCTTGAGTGGTGTAGCCGACATTGACAGGACTTCTTTTACAAGTCGAAAATGTCGGCTAAACCACTCAAGCAACCTGAGAATTCTGTGAGACAAACTACAAACCCAACGAAACGCTTTTGCAAATACGTAAATAATGAATTTCGAACCCACCATTTCTGTTTGTAGGTCTGAAAATCCAGTATTTACTTGAGACAAGCCTTAATGCTTTTTCAGAAGCCGAAAACCAAAAACACGATCAAAAAATATTCGTCTATGTACTAAACCATTCATTGCCAGAGACTTCAGGGGAATTCCGCAACTCGGATGTCGCTTTCCAAGACACCTCACAAGGGGAGTCAGGTAACTTAAATCGCGTCTTGAGATGAGACACATATTAGGTTGGCCCGAAAGTTCTTGCGCGTCATTCTTGAAAAGTCATAATTTCTTGCTCTGTCAGTGAATTTGCACAATCTTAATTCTGCTCGATAACCTTTGCTGCTCCCTGATAAGTGGTAGCTTTTGAGATGGAAGCAGGATAATAAAATTAGTTTAACTTCGTCATTTTGAGTTAGGCTAATCTGAAAATCTGAAACCTGCGATAAATTTGCGAGCAAGCAGTAAAGCGAGTCTTTCAATCCACTCTTTCCATCTGTGCAAAGTTTGTGTTGAAAGAGCTTCTTTAAAAATTATGATTTTCAAAAAGATCAAATCTGCTGTTTCGTAATGCTTGCAAAGGATGAATACCAACATTATTTGGCGACTGAAGATGAGTTGCATATCATTAATGCGATTTCAAACGCTATGTCCAAATCTGTTTTTCTTTTTTGTGGTACAAGTTTTCGAAGGAAGTTGTGAGCGTCTGAATGTCCAAATTTGTCAAGGTTCAGGTGGCTTAAAGTTGGAAAGCTGTATAAAATTACCGAAAAGTAGAAATCCAATTTTGTATAGAGCATATTGTGCAAGGAAGAAACTAAGCCGGTGTCGCATAAGCATTGTTTTAGAGCTTTTCGCTATTTTTAAGCCATTCAATGTCTGGCAAATTTGGACATTCAAACGCTCACAATTTCTTTCGGAGAGTTTCCGCAAAAAATGAAAGCAGATTTGAAATCAGCGTCCAAAGACGCGTTTATTGATATTCGTCTCAT